ATATATATGGATCTTTGGTTATTCGGGTTTTCTCCCGCGTAAGATTGGAAGTATCTAGGCAACGTTTCGATGAAGTCTCATTCATCATCTTCAGGCTTGTGTCTTCGGCTCTGTGCTTCTCAGAGTGATGTGAGCTTTCAGCTGCTTCTTCTTTTTAACTGCTAGTGGGGGTGTGACTTGATTGGGTGGGGGCTTGGCTGTGTTCTGATTGGGTGGGGGGTTGGCCGTGTTCTGATTGGCTGGAGGGGTGTTCTGTTCAGGTGGGGGCTTGGTTGTGCTCAGGTTAGTCTTAGTTGCTGGGGGATTAGTTGCTGGCGGTAACGCGGAAGAAAACCCGAATAACCAAAGATCCACATACAAATACCCGCGAGAACCTCAGAAAACAAATATATATATATAGTGTGTGTGTGTGTGTGTGTGTGTGTGTATGTACCCTGTTTCTCCAACAATACGGTCTCCCCCAATAGGAAGTCCCAGCATGTTTTATAGGCATGAAATGAAATTAAGCCCTTCCCCCCAAATTAAGGCCTATATTAAAATATGCAAAATGGGGGGGGGAATGGTGGGGGGGGCTTGGCATTAGGAAGTATTTTTGTTGCACACTCGGATATGGTACTGCCTGCGTTGACCCCGATACGAAGTGTCCCACCAACGCTGAGGTCAACATCCAAGCTGTCGCTGCCCGCCCGAAAATGCAAGTTGGGGGGAATTAAGTCACCCCCGAAAAGACGGCCTAGCCATTTTTTCGGGGCTCAAAAAAAAATAAGACCCGGCCTTAATATATGAGAAACACGGGTATGTATGTATGTATGTATGTATGTACACACACACACACACACACACATATATGAGACCCATTTAGTTCTCTGGGAAATGATAAATGCTGAGGACTAGCAACCATCACTCATATTTGCCCTCTTTGTTGCACAACCATTTCTTCCCAGAAAGAAAGAGATGGGAATTGTATATATATCCACATGGGAGAACCTAATTTAGGAAGTTTTGAACCAAGAAATGCCATTAATGGCTACTGGCTATTATTTTGGTATGAACAGAATTGGTAACTTTGTTCCTTTAAATTAACATGAACTAAATCTATTTCCTAAATCTGGTTTAACCAAACTCTTAATGATCTAGACCAATATAGATCATCAGGAAGGCTGTACTAGAATGATTTTTAGTCAACAATAACAAGACTCTTTATTTTGGTCACAGGCCAGCACAACATAAAACCACGAGGATATAAAAATGACAGCAATTTGAACAATAACTGAAGTTTAATATTGTAGCTTAATATTACAGTTCCAACTCCAATGAATTAATTAATAATGCTAACATAAACTGTGAGAAAATATAAATGCTACGGTACAAGGTTATAAAATAGTTTTTGTAGAAATCAACTATACATCTAAAATAAGAAATTATCAGTTTAATGTAGATTGCAATAAATAAAAGTTCATATAATAGCACCTGAAAATTTACCAAAGTTGCTAATCTTTTTTCCTAATCAATTCCGGATGGATTTTACAAACATAAGTACAAAACACACACACCAAAAGAAGCATTTTGGATGTTATTGAAGAAATATAAACAATCAGTTCAATTTGCAAATGTGCCTGATCAGCATGCCCTGTTGGCCTTATTCATTCATTCATTCATTCATTCATTCATTCCATGTATATAGCCAACCATCTCACTTTTATATGACCTAGAAGGTTTACAATAAAATAAATAAAGTAAAATACCTAAAATACACAATATCAAAAATACAAATAAGACACATAGCAGCCAGACAATGTTGATTCAAAAAATGGTCTCTTTTCCACATTCAGGGCCCCAAGACAATCCAATTCCAGGGGGATAATGTTCCATTATGGGGAACATTAATGTGTGCCTTCATGTAGCAGGCACCATGCTCAGCCAGCTCAAAACGCCCAGTGCAACAAAGGAATTTTATATTCAGGATCTTCTTATACCTTGGTTTTGAAACCGCAGAAGGGGAGGCATTCAGGTGCATTAATGCACAGGTCCCCAATCCCTGGGCTGCAGCCTACTGGGAACCAAGCTGCACAAGTGGTGGGCAAGTACACAAAGCTTCATTTGCACACGCATGAGAATTAGGCTGTGCATGTAAAACCCTCCCCTCACCTGCCACCACTGCTGCTGCCGGTCCGTGGAGGCAGAAATTTTTGGGATTGCCATATTAACGTACAAGTCCTTCTCTGCTTTGGGACTTACAGTTTCATGGGACATGCTGCTGGTATGCAATGGTATATAGGAAAGACCTTGGAAGAGGGGGCAAAGAAATGCAGCCTAGGGAATAGTCAGATAAGAGAGAGCATAGCTTACAGCTGGAGAATGCGTGGAGCATGATGTCAGCCTTAACAGGCAGGCCGCACAGGAAGACACAAGCAGAAAAGCTACATTAATAGAAGCTTAAAAACATGAAAGAACAGTCCTCCCACCATTTCCTTTATAGCTTGAGAAACTAGGGAGGGTCCCTTTTGCGTCTCTTGCTCTACTCACTATCCAGCTGTAGTCTAAGATCCCTTTTATCTGCCCATTCTCTAGGCAGGCTCTCTTTGTCTCCCAAGGTCTTTCCCACATTCCATTCTGTGAGATGTATGGCATGAATTATTTTATCCTCACAATACTGAGACAAGTCTGATTCACAATTCAAAGGTTTATTTATTTATTTTTAAAAGGGCATTTGCAAAGGCAGACTCCAAGTCCCTTCCCAAGTGGATTGAATACGAGGAGAGTAAAATCCACTAGTCAAGCAATACATTTTATACTCTCTACACAATGCATGCCACACCTAAGAAGTCCTCCCAACTCCCTTATTATTTCTAATTCATACTATAAGGTAAAGGGTCAACTTGACCATTTTCTTCAATGACCACAGATATCTTATTTTGTTGGCAAGTAGCTTTGCCTTGGGCGGATGTTCCTATCTTATTTACTTGTGGCCTTGCCTAGGGGAGACGTTCCTGTTTTCCAACAAGTCTGCAGCTAGTCATCATGTAATATTTAACATACTTTGCAACAACAAGGACATCATAGCTTAAAAATACACTTAATACTTTCATAAAAGAGTAACTTATTATTTATTTCCTTCAATTCCATAGTACTATTTTGTACCTATGATTCCCAGCAATGGTAGATTAGGCATCCTAAAAGACAGGACTGTTGCTCCATGTCTAAAATCTGATGCAAAGTGCATCAAAGACTTTTCATAAATGAGTTATGAGTTAGTCAATGTTCAGAGTCAACTGAAAATCATCTCCAAGAGCTAGATTGTTTATTTGTTTATTATATAGATTTATCTTATCAAGTAGCTCTGGGTGACTAACCAACAAGCCATCAGAAACATACATTTAAAAATAATAGAAACAACAACACAGGATGTTAGGCAAAGAAAATACCCACATCACCCCAGGGCAAGAATGCAAGCTGCCAATATCCAGGCCCTCAAGCCAAAAAAAAATTCCAGGTTTTTAAAGGCTTTCTGAAGGTAAAAACAGGATGTTTCTGACCAAGATTGTAGGGACTAGCTGCACAAGAGAGCAAACTTTAGCCATTGTTTATAGCTATCTGTATCTTAATCTCTCTTTTTACCATGCCCACTTCAAGGTACAGGCTTTCTTGAGGCAAGTCACTGGACTAGAATCCCTGAACTCACATATTTACTAAGATGTTTTCCAGTGGTCTGAAGCCAGCCAAAGAACCTACCGGTAAGTAGCACATTCAGGAAAGGCTGCATACAGAGAACTGCTGAAGCAACCATAATATTTTATTCTTTATTCTTAAAATATGTTAAAATAGTTTACTATTGATGTCAGGCAGGGCAAACCTTTGGGGATACCCAATAGGAAACATTGGGTCAGTGTGGCTTTGGCCCGGTTTACCCAATGCGAAGGAGAAACATCGGACCAGCGTGGCTTCGGCCCAGTCTACCCAATGCAAAGAGGAAATATACCAGCAGTTTGGGAGTGGCATCAAGTGGCCACACCCACCCATTCAGCCATGCCCAGTGAGTGGCATCAAGCTGGCCACACCCACCCAGTTAGCCATGCCCATCTGGCCCTCCAAGGTCAACCACAGTCCTGATGGGGCCCTCAATTAAATTGAGTTTGACATCCCTGCTGTATAACAAGAAAATGGAAATAATTTAGAATATTCTCTGTTGGACTTCTACAAAAGTAAGCAAGCCTCAACAGTGCGAGGCTTGATGGAACCCTGGTGACCATTTTCAGACAATCCTGCTAATTGGTGTCCTTCACCCAGTTACTTTCCTCCATTCCATTCATTGCTGGGGTACACCAGCTGTCTGGCCACTCTATCTAAATCAACAGTCTTCCCAACTGTTGTCAAAAAGGCCAGGATTCCTGGGCTTCTGTTTTGCTGGAGGGGAGCTCTTGCACTGGCATAATCACCATCAATCCACCATGGACAATATTAGGGGCCTGAACATATCTACTATGTTCTGTCTGGTTTTCAGTGTTTCTATGTGACTCTGGTGGTAAAAGCCAAAAGAACCACAAAGATGGAATGCCTAGAACAGTGTTTCTCACCTTCATGACTTTAAGTTTTGTGGACTTCAATTCCCAGAATTCTCCAGTCAGCTGTGCTACCTGGGGAATTCTGGGAGTTGAAGTCCACAGATCTTAAGAATCACCAAGGTTGAGAAACACTGGCCTAGAATGTCCATGCCTTGTAAGTTGACTCTAGCACTAGGTTATGGAAGGCTGTGTGTTCTGTACACTCACACACGTGCTACTTGATTTCCAGAAAACTAGAGCTGCTTGATTTAAAAATAAACTTTCTTAGGGCTAATGGGTGGGCACCAATCATACCAGTTTTTCTATTCACACAACACACTACCTCTCATGACTCAGTTAAGCATGTTGGGCGAACCTGGCTGTTATACAGTCATCTGGCTGAATAAAAAGACTGGAACAGAAATCAAAATTCAGGAGGAGGGGGGACTTCCTTTTTTCGAGTGATGTTCCTGAAGTAGCATCTTGAAGTGGAAGCTACATTTCTATCTGTCAGTTTTTGATTTTGTCCAACCTGTGCAAATTTCATACATCTGATTTTGAAACCCCCTGAGAACAAAAGGCAAGTCTTAAATGCTTCTTCTGCCTTACCGCTATTGGATTTAGGATATTTTTTTTTCTGAAGTGCCTCATGTCATTTCAAGATAAGCTTCAATAAAATATCCATGCATGAGTGGGAAACAAATACAAAATTAATCTAAGGGTTTCTCATAGTCCCAAATGAGGCTTTCTTAGAGAACAGCAATAATTATTACTTAGTTTCGGGTTATCCTGGAGTGCAGAACCACCTATCTGGAAGATAGTGCCACTTGTTCCTAGGAAAATCAAAGCCAGCCAGCATGGCATCAATGCTTTCTCATGGAATGTCTACTTTTTTACTAACCTTCTTCAGGCCAATCCGAAAAAAGGCATTTTAAACAACAGAGGCCTGCAGTTCTCATAGAAGATGGACAGAAAATTTAAATTCCAAACACACACTGCTCCCCTCTGGCCCCATAAAAGCATTTGCAAGAGTTATTCGAGAATTTCTGGAAAATAATCATATAAAAATTGCATGGAAATATTTCTCAGTGCATTTCCAGTGTTTGCAGCAACATAGACAGATTTTTTCCTCTGTGAATTCTTTCATGCTTAATAAAATCTGATCTGTTGCAAAAAGTATTCTGACATTCAAAGCACAGGCAATTTTTCTTCCCAGAGTGAAACAGTTGGTGTTTAATTAGCTGATTTTTTTTTTCTTCAGGAGAGATATTTATATGGCTTTTCTCCTGTATGGATTTGCTGATGCCTAGTTAGACAAGATTTCACCCGGAAGCTTTTCCCACAGTCTTCACACTCAAATGGCTTCTCACCTGTATGGATCCTGTAATGTCCTTGTAGATGGGACTTCATGTTGAATTTTTGGCCACAATCAGGACAGCCATAAGGTTTCTCTCCAGTATGGAGACGTAAATGGACATTAAGATTAGACTGCTTATTAAAACGTTTCCCACATTCATTGCATGGATATGGCTTTTCTCCTGTGTGGATCCTCTGGTGTGTAGTAAGATGTGAAGACTGATCAAAACTTTTCCCACACTCACGACAGACAAAATTCCTGTCTGATACTGTAATTCCTATCGGGGGTTTCTTACTTATAATTTCGATGAAGTTTTCTGGTTCAGGAATTGCATGTGTCACCTCTGGTAATATTGCCTGAGTATTGCCTTTTGATTTGGTCTCAGTTGGTTTGGACAGCTTGGGGTCTACTGTATGGATTCGGCGGTGCTTATTTAGGGAAGCTTTAACAGGGAATCTCTTCGCACAGACTTCACATTCATACGGCTTCTCCCCTGTGTGCATCCTATAGTGTCCAAGTAAATGAGATTTAGTACAAAATCTTTTGCCACATTCAGGACAGCCATAAGGTTTCTCTCCAGTGTGGAGACGTAAATGGACAGTAAGATTAGATTGCTTATTAAAACGTTTCCCGCATTCAATACATGGGTATGTCCTTTCTCCTTTGTGAATCCTCAGGTGTTTAGTAAGGTGTAAAGGCCGCTCAAAACATTTTCCACATTCAAAACAGACGTAATTCCTGTTTGACACTGTTATCCCTATTGGGGAATTGGTGCTGATAATTTTCACTATTTTTTCTGTATCAGGAACTGTGCACACCTGTATCACTTCTGGTAATACTGCCTGGGTATTGCCTTCTGATTTGATCTCAGATGGTATGGACAGCTTGGGATCTGCTGAATGGATTCGTTGGTGTTTATTTAGAGAAGATTTAACAGGGAATCTCTTCCCACAGTCTTCACATACATAAGGCTTCTCCCCTGTGTGTATCCTGTAGTGTCCACGTAAATGATATTTGGCATTGAATCTTTTGCCACAATCAGGGCAGCTATAAGGTTTCTCTCCACGATGCAGACGTAAATGGACATTAAGATTGGACTGTTTGTTAAAACGCTTCCCACATTCAGTACACGGATATGGCTTCTCTCCTGTGTGGATCCTCTGGTGTTTAATAACTTGTGATGGCTGATCAAACCTTTTTCCACACTCATAGCATCCATATTTTTTTCTTGTTGCAATAGTAGCTAACCGGGAGCTACTTCTAGGTATTTTCTTGTTAGCCTTAAAAGCTTGTGATAATTCCAGTGATAACTCCTGCCGCCTTCTGGATTTGATCCCCATTTTTTCAGAATGTTTGGGATCAAAGGAAACATTCCACCGCAATGGTTCATGAAATTGCTCTGCTCCAGGCTTCTCTTGATGAGGATTCTTTCTTGTATCCACATTTTCTGCAAGAGCAACAAAGATGTAATGAAGACAGAGGCAAAAGAAGCAACAAGGTAGTAGCCAGGAAAGCAAGAAAAAAAAAAAAACGGTCTCAGGCAGTAGTGGGATTCAATTTTTTTTACTATCAGTTCTGTAGGCGTCGCTTGGTGAGCGTGGGAGGGGAAGGATCCTGTAAAATCTCCAGTCAGAGGTGGTATTTGCAGGTTCTCCGAATTACTCAAAATTTGCACTACCGGTTCTCCAGAAGTGGTCAGAACCTGCTGAATATCACCTCTGGTCTCAGGTTCAATAGGAAAGTTGTTGGTGGAAGAGCAGGTCACGACAAGGGTAGAAATATAGATGGTCAAAGAACTCACAGCCACTCAGTCTTGCTAAGGTTGAGCTTAAAATTGTTTCTCCCCCATTGAGGCCTGATTAGCCTCTAGTAGTATGATCAGTATCTCTTCTGGTGCAACCAACAACTTTCCCTAAATAGGGGAAGTTGGAGATTGGATGAAAATGATCTACATCACTTGAGTCAAAATGTGGCCTCTTCAAAATGGCATGTACCATCTCCTCCCACAAACAGGTCAAAGCACTGCATGGACCCAATCACATGTTACTTTCCAGGTGGCTTTAATCAGTGAAGATGGACAAAGATCTGATAAGCAAACTATTGGAACAAGAGTCTCAACAACTGTCTAATAGAGATACATTCCTTCTGCCTGACACCCTTTCAGGAATTTTTATAATTATACAGTACTTCCCCCTTAATTTTTTTTTTTACGACGGCTTAAAATTTCAATACTTTTTAAGGATGTGGTTTCAACTTTCCAACTCCATTTAACACATTCCAATTTATTGGAATAGTTCCTAAGAGTGGTAACCAGAAACACACGGATTCTGAAGGGTGATCTGAAGAGTCTAGGCAAAAGCAAGGAATGCTATCTCAGTCAACTTCCTAGTCCATGCTGAGGGATGCAACAATTCAGAAATACCTGGAAGAGCTAAGATTGTCCTAGATCATCCTAGTGGCATTATTGCTTGCTCCTCAGCTCAGTAAATTAGAGGCAAAACCATAGAAAAGCAAAAGAGACATATTAGAAGTGGGGGAAACATACTGAAGAACACTGGGAAATTGTTGGGCTATCCACAGGAATTCTACATTAAGGAAAGAAGTGAAGCAGAGGAAATCATGGAAACACTGCAGGAAAATATATTTCTTCTGTAAGTCTAAAAGCATGTGGTGGCCACCTGGAAAAGACAACCTTATTGGGTGGAGTTTAGACTTCCTGGGACTTAAAGTTACTGAAGCCCCAGTGGGCTAATAATTAAAAAGGATTTTCCAGGGGGCTGATGAATTGGAATGGCTATTAATGTCTCCCTGATTCTGCTGAAGGTTAAGATGGCTGAGATGTTAACATGCACCCTCAGAAATAGTCTCTGATTTAGTAGAGCCAACTCAGCTGCTTGAAAGTGGGAGGTAATAAAATCAGCAGGGCAGCAGTTACAACTATGTTAACGGAAGAAAAGGAATATGTCATCCTGCACATGAGCTAAAACCTATGTATTTGAGATATTATGATCAATTAGATGTATCTTCCAACTCCCCTGGATCCGGGCGGTAAACAGATTTAAATGTTTGAATAAAAATAAATAAATTATATAATCCAATAAAACGTAACAAAAGGATTCTTTTGTCAAAAAAGAAAAAAGAATCTTCTTACCAACCACAGTTAGGTCCTCAAAATTTACAACCCCTTGATCAATAGTGTCTTTTTCTTTCAATGTCTGGAGATCAGTCATCTGTGATATTTCTTCCCAGTCAAGCTGGAGACATGGATCTGGTTTGGAAATTAAGAGCTCTAGAGTAAGAGAAAGAAACACAATAAAAGAGAAGAGAATTATTGATTCTTTTATAGCCATTTAACACAATAAAATGTCCTGGGTCAGGCTGGTTAGTTAGTTAGCTTAGAATTTCAACATAGGTAAACCTCACTTAGTGCCCAGTTCAGCAACTATTCAAAGTGACAACGCCACTGAAAAAATAACTTAATGATCAATCCTCACATTTATGACTGTTGCAATGTCATAACCATTCAGGAACTTCACAAGTGGACAGTGTTTATAATCATTGCAGTATCCCACAGTCATGTGATCACTATTTGTGCACTTCACAACCAGGTTCCAACAAGGAGTCAATGGAAAAACTGGCAGGTTGTGGCCACATGATGTTGCTTTATAACTTATGGTTATTTGCTTAATGACCGAAGGAGAACTGAACTCCTAAATTGATCATGGTCATGTGTTATGCTTAGTGACTATGCTGCTTAGTGACAGACTTGCTGGTCCCAATTATTGTCACTAAGCAAGAACTACTTATAGTAAAGAAGATGTGGAGCTCAAAATTGAACTATTTATTCCTTGGACCTCTTAACTTGGTTGTTTTTCTGCAGACATTTTATTTACCAGGCAAGATATCATCATCAATGCATGAGTGTGTGGAGTATGCTGGTTGTTCATAGACGCTTGGTTGGGGTTCAGTTGCTTTCTTGATTGTGCTTCGATCAGAATATTTTTTCTTTCTTAATTGTTTCTCTGGTGCTGCTTCCTGCAGTATGCAACAATGATACCAAGGCTGTTGGTTGTTTCAGGGATATTTGTAGGAAAATAACCGAAGCTCAGACAATATCAAGAACTGAATAGCTTAGGATTATCTGCTAGTGTAGTATAGTAAAAGTGCATTAGACTATAGTGCATTAGACTTGGGGAGAACCAAATTAAAATCTACCTATGCCATGGAAACTCCCACTAACTTAGCATCCGTCCTTCTGAGTTCAACCTACCATACAGGGTTGTTGATGAAATGAGATGTCCAAATAAGATTTAGCTTCTGGGATAGATATCTAATTGACATTTTCTTTTTCAGGCTATTTAACTACTTGTGTTCCTTACATTCTCTCCTTTTCAGTATGGTAATTTCCAGCCACAGTTGGCTGAGGTAGTCCTGGGTGTTCTAGTTTTTTATATATATAGTTTTAATGACGATAAGAACTAACAAAAACTAAGATTTAGAATAAAAAAGAAAGAAGAGGTAAGAAAAGACAGCCAGAAGTGCAGAAAAAATGAAATATAAAGAAGTGATTTTATCATTTTCTTTTACAGCAGTTGTAAAAATGTAATTTAACCTCTTATTCTCTCATTAGAGCATTACTTACAATTTTAGTATCAACTATTTTTATAATAATCAAATATATAATTATTATATAATCATTTATATGATTAAAATTATTTCCATTTTCCTGTTTTATGCAAAAAGTCAGTAAAGGAGTTTCCAATCAGTTTTAAACTTAGACAATAGGTTTTCTCTGACCAAAGCTGTCATCATCTTTACCATGCATTCCTCCATAGTGAGTAAGTCAAATCTTTCACTCTTTGCGCATATAATAATCTCAGTGCAGGTATCATATATAAAAACAATGTTCCACAGGCATTATAGATTCCAACTGCTTGCATCCTTGGCGAATGCTGGATAGTCAATGGCAAGTCCTAATTTTCAAAAGTATGATGAGTTTCATTTAGACTAGGTAGCATGAGGCAGGAACAGCCCTTGGGGATATGAAGAGCTTGCCTAAAAACCTTAAAAGTAAGGAAGATGACTTTACACAAACATGCAATTTGCCTGTTCCACATAGGCAAAGAGGAGCTGATTCTTTGGTTGGGGCTGACACCTTCAGAAAGGTTTGTATGGTCTTACAGGAATGGGAACCTTAGAATAGAATAGAATAGAATAGAATTCTTTATTGGCCAAGTGTAGTTGGACACACAAGGAATTTGTCTTGGTGCAAATACTCTCTGTATACATAAAAGAAAAGATACATTTGTCAAGAGTCAAGAATCATAAGGTACTTAATGATAGTCATAGGGTACATAGGTACCTAAGGAGGTCACGTTCTCAGAATTCTCTTGCATGACCATGTAATACAAGATTCTTTGTTCATTATCCAGAAGGTCCCACTCCTCTGGGGTGAAGTATACAGCCACATCCTGGAAAGCCACAGGGCACTAGAAGAGGAAGGCAATTGAACAAAGCAATGCATTTGATCTATTATTCTGATGGCTGCTATGTCATTTAGCAAAAATATTCAGCAATTATCCTTGCTTTGTATCTTGAATTTGTAATTCCTTATTCAAGTTTATATAAAGTTTATATTAAGCTTGAATGACAAACACAATGTTGAAGAAGGGCCTGCCCAACTCATATTAAGGCAAGAGGAGGGAGATTAGAGGTTTAACTGTACTCTTATAACTGAAGCACAATTCCCTGTTTGGACTTTTGGTTGGGATTGTAATTCAGCAAGCTATAGAAATCCAGCCACTGCCTTATGAGGTGAACCAGGAAATTGAGTTAAGTCATAAAATGGCTTAATAATATTGCTGGGATTCTAACCCAGGATTTGTCATTACAACTTATGTCACCCAGGTACTGGGATAATGTCTTTATGTTAAACCTGTAGCTCTCCAGGTAACAACAGGCTTTCCTAGAAAGTTGGGAACTATCTCAAGGGAGATGAAGTTCTTAGCTTTCCCTCTTTCTACTGCCCATTCTATTTGTAACCTATTGCAGGACAAATTCAGGTGGATTCAGAATCCAGCCTACTGGAGACCCCTTCTTCCTTGGCCAGTGCTTGTGGTCAGAGGAACAACAACATTCCTAGCATTAGGCTATGAATTAGGGGTTTCCTTTCTTAGTAGCAAGGATACCTGTTGCTCCAGGTAAGCTTCAGCCAGCTGAGCTGCCTCCTGGCTGGTACTTGGCTTCCTGGATCTCACCCAAGCCTGCATTCCCAAAGGAAGCACATGCAGGAACTGCTCCAAGATGACCACGTCCACAATCTGTCCTTTGGTGCGATCCTGTGGTCTTAGCCATCTCTCAGCGGCCTCTCCCAGCTGGAACAGAGTCTGCCAGGGACGCTCTCCCAAAGGAAGAGCATCGGAACGAAACCTCCGCCTGTTGTACTCCTCAATGTCCATGAACAGAGTAGTCACTTCTACTGAAGCTTTCATGGAGGCTGACCAAATGCATCTTCTCCCAGAGAAGGCACTGAGCTGATCCACTGGGGCAAAACCAACTGGTTCTTCTGCTGGGACTTGGGAAAGGCGAAATGTATACGGGTCCATCTCAAAGGAAATCTTACAATTAGTTTTAGGAGAAAAGCAAAATACATCTCACTTATTAAGCAGTGAACCACACTGAAAACAAAAATAGCAAAGGGAATGAAAAATTACACCCAAGAACAGCAAAAGCAAGACACAAGGCATGTAAAATACTTAATAATTGGCAGAATGGGGTGAGTAGAGAGAATTACAGGCACACATCTACTGCTTTGGCTCTTCTGCCCCTCTCCATAGATAAATATAACCACAATCTGCTTTTAATTCCACTAAGATGGTTTGAACAGCAAAAGCAAGATACAAGGCACGAAAAATATAGTCAATGGCAAGTCCTATAGTAGCTCTGGTTGGTAATTAGGCGGTTTGAGCTCCAAGCTTGGCAACTTGGTTGCAAACGTTTCGGCACCATTTGAAGAGACATTGTTTCGACAATTCCAAAATGTATTGATGATGTCTCCTTGACAAAACGTTTGCAACCAAATTGCCAAGCTCGGAGCTCAAACCAACAGCCATATTTCTTAAGCAATAAATAGGGTAGTCTGAGAGAAACACACACACACACTGGCTGCTTTGGCTCTTCTGCCCCTCTCCACACAGAAACATCACCACGACCTGCTTCTAATTCTACTAAGATGGCTTCCCTGTAAACAAGAGGACCAAGTGGGTTGCCATCTCATGCTGCTTGGAGTTCATCTGCATTTAGGATTTTCTCTGCATAGAGAGCGATTTTGCATCGCAGAATCCCCAACCCCTCAGAAATAAATCTTCGTCCAGTTCTCTTTCCAGGTTGAAAAAAAGAAAGAAACGGTCAGCAAAGCCGGGGCTCAAAAGAGAGATTGCTGCTGTGAACGACTACACAAAGATGCACCTGCAGGTTGGCCAAATCCACAAAGATGTGGATGGGCGGATGGGGATCCACCTGCTTTCTACCTGCCCAGGTTCAGCCCTGTGTCAAGAATAATTTTTTAGCCGAATATCCGGCTGCTGGAGAAGGAAAATAAAGAAAATTACTTTACGATTAAGCCGAGAAAGAGATATTTTTCTCTGCTACGCCTTCCTGCATTGAAATAGGACGGCCAATCGGCCATGTAGCGGAACGATCATAAGCCACTTCCCGATAACCCGGAAAACAAAAGAAGGGCTCTTTGCACTCCGTCCGCAGCAAAGAGGAAAGCTAGCAGGTATTTCTGGTCTAGCAAAGAAAAACCCGACAGCCCTCTCGTGGGCAGAGGAAAGAAACGTTTCCTAGCTTTGCCCCTGCTGAGTTACAGTTAAACTGCCTCCCGCCATTCTTCAGCAAGCAGAGGGGTTTTATTGGCTTGGCCCAGAGCAGCGTTTCCCAACCGTGGCAACTTTAACAATTCCATGAATTGAAGTCCCCGCATTTGAGAGTTTTGCTGAGAAACACTGGCAGGGAAGCATCAGTGGTGTGTGCGTGTCAAACGAAGGCAGGTGAACAGTGATGAGCCCATCCAGGCTTCGCCCCCGTCTCCTCCTGTCCTTTTATTGGGAGTCGTATGTGCACCTAAAAACGCGATGCTGCTTTGCTCATTCAGATGCATGAGCATCAAATCCTGCAGACATCTCTGGCTTAGAGCACCCTGTATTTCAGAGAGGAAATCTCCATTAACCAAATTGTTTCCTTCGAGGTGTGGAATGAAGAGATCACTTGGTAGCTGCTCTCCGTCTCTATTGTTATGCCATGATTTACAGAACGGGCTGAAGCTGGAAAAACCAAAGGCCGCTTTCTTGGGAAGTTGTTTGTACTAATTATTCACAGTATGGTTTCTGGTGTGCCCTTTAATGAATATAATGTTAATTGTTCTTTGGTTTTGCTTGCTTTTATTCTGTTTTGCCAGTTAACAGTGTGGGTATAACCTACATGGTGACCATTGCATTATTATCCCAGGACTAAATATGTTGGAAAAGTTTTAATTTATTGTTCTTTGCTTTTTTAAAAAAATGAGCATTCTAGAGTTTATCACAATCTCCTAGACAAAAACAAAGTTTAATTAGCAAGGCATCCAAAAAACAAACATGGTAAGAAATTGGGACTTCCATATAACACAACTATTATAGGTTATACAGGTTGTCCTTGGTTGACAATGACAATCGGGACTAGAATTCCCACAGATAAGTGATGCAGTTGTAAAACATAGCATCACATAACCCCATTTCTTAGGGATGGAAATCATGGCAGTCATCTTTGCCATCACTAACCAAATTCATCAAGGGAGGATCCATCCCAATACAAACCATTCCTGGCTTGGTCTTTTCCAGTCTCAAGCCTCACTAAGTAAGGTTAAGGGACTGTCTCCTGTTGATACCAGTGCTGGGGCTGATGTAGTGTTAAAAGACATTTAAATTTAGTAGTAGCTGGAGGAGTAGGGTTGTGCGATGAGCCAGAACACACAATTATAACTGACCATCTTATGTGTGAGGCAATCTGCACTCTGATTTGTTGCTGTGGGTGTGGAGGGAGTTTCCTTACCCCCCATGTCTCTGTGCTCTATGATTTATGATGCTCCTGTTTGCCTGACTCTCTTTGGTGCATATATAGATGTAAAATAGTTATTTATATAAAACCACAAATTTGTGTCAGTGTCTCTGACTTCATCTGGACACCAGCTGCACAATTCCCTGCCATAGAGGCCTAGGATTTTCAGTAATCTCAGCTGCCCCAACTTCTACCTCAGCCTCAGTACCAAAGGTGCCACCACTGCGCCCAAGGAGTGCCACCTCGAGTCCATGCTGCAGCCACCCACCCCACTGCAGAACCCCAGTTGATATACCTTGTGCCAGACCTACCACATGCAGTTGACCTTCCTACATGAGGCACCTGCTGCCCACAGTAGGTTTTTTTTTTTTTTTGAGGCTGCACATGTTGTTTTCCAAATGAAAACAAGTTCTCAAGTTTTTGGGAGAGTGGTGCATGCAGTCTCAGGAACAAGGCCAGGCCTGACAGCAGTTGCCTTGCACATTACTAGGCTGGCTGTGCTTCAGCAACAGCAGCAGAAAGAAGCCTTCAAAAGGATAGGAATAATGGTAGGAGACAATAGGTAGGTGTATGTGTGTGTGAGGGGGGGAGAAATTGAAGTGCTCTTACAATCCTAAGTGCAAATGGGCTGCCAAGTGTCCAAATTTTCCTCATGTGAGCATGGGGTTGCTGCAAAAGACATATCTTCAGGGACTGGATTCAAGTACCATTTGTTCAATGCCGTTTTAATTTTGGTCACTGAATGAAAGATGGTTAAATGAGGACTACCTGTATGGCAAAAAGTTCCTCTTTCAGGACAAGAGGAATGGGTCTTTATTCCACATCAGAGACCCACAGTCTGCAGATGATAAGTGGGAAACCCAGATTTAACTGGGTTTGTTATGCATTAAAAATGGCAGGTGATTATTCTTGAGCAAGTTGTTTCTTACTTTACCTGATTTTGAAAAGTTGGTATTAAAAAGGATCATTTGTTATACTGACAAATGCTGTAGAACAAGAAAATAGAAATAATTGTGAATGCTCCCCACGATTACTACAAAGACAAGCATGCCTCAACTGTGCAAAGATTGGTAGAACCTGGAGTCCATTTTCATACAACCTTGCTGATTGGCATCTCACCCAATTACCTACCATCTTTTCATGTACCATTGGGGCAGCACCAACTGTTTTGCAGTTACACTTTCCACTTGCTGCTGAAAAGGCAGAGAGGCCAGGGCTTCCTGGGTTTCTGTTATGATGGAGGGGAGATCCTGCCCTGGCACAATCATCCTCAATTCACTATAGACTTCAGGGGCTTGGACCATTTATCCACTAAGTTCTCCCCCTTTTCACAACTTCTGTGTGGCTCTCATAGTGAAAGCCAAGAGCCACAAAATTGGAGTGCCTAGAACAAGTATCTTCAAACTTGGCAAGTTTAAGACTTGTGGACTTCATTTCCCAGAATTCCTGAGCTAACATGACTGGAGGAGGAATTCTGGGAGTTGAAGTCCACAAGTCTTAAAGCTGTCAGGTTTGAAGACCCCTGGCCTAGAATGTTCATTTCAATTCTAAGATTTTGCCATAGAAGGCAGAGATATTACTTAACTTCCAGATCAGCTGTTTAGGCAATTCAGCTTAGATGTGTCTGCATGTGCATGTATGTGTGTTTGTATGTCTGCGCTTGTGCACAGGCTACTTTATGTCCAGAAACCTATGGCAATTTGTTTTGAAAATGAAGTCTCTTAAGGCTAATTAATAGGATCAATCAACTTATTTTTCCTGTTCACATAACACATGACACTTCATGACTTAGTTAACTATCTTGTGTAAACCAGGCTGTTACAGTCATAAGATGCATAAATAGACTGGAACAGAAATGAATACTCAGGAAGTCACTTTCTTTTTTCAAATGATATTTCTGAGGAAAACAGTATCATGAATGGAAGGAACATACCTTATATGTTAATGTTCAATTTTTCCAACCTGTGCACATTTCATACACCCCTTTTGAGTCCCACTGGGTTTGAAAGGCAAGTCTTAAATGCTTCTTGCCTTATAGTTACCAGATTGAGAACATATTTTTCTGAAGCACCTCAAGCTTCAGTGAAATAGCCATGCATGAGTGGGAAACAAAATTATTATTATTATTATTAATTAATTTAAAGGTATTCTAATAGTCCGAATTGATGTTTTCTTAGAGAACATTAATAACTATTACTAAGGTTAGGTTACAATGAGATGCAGAACTACCTAGCTGGAAGGTAATGCCATGTTCCTAGGAAAATCGAGGCTAGCCAGCATGGCATAAACCTCTTCATATGGAATATCTACTGTTTACTAGCTTCCTTTGGGCTATCCCTAAAGAAGGCATTTTAAATAACAGGGGACTTCAGAACAGTAGAAGTTGGTCATTTCCAAGGCCTCAGATAAAAATATTTTAGTTCCAAATGCACACTGTTCCCCTCTGATCCCATAAAAGCATTTGCAAGAGTTGAGTTTCTTAGGGAATTCACTGAAAAATAACCATATAACTAAATATATGGTGTATGTACATGTGTCTCCAAGTTTTCTGCTGTGAATCATTCCTGAACATTATCCCACAGCTGGGTCCCCCATAATATCTGTCTTCTGTATGGATTTATGGATGCTTATTTCAGCCAAAAGGAACACAGGCAAAGATTTTCTCCTGTGTGAATTCTTTCATGCTTAATGAAATTTTATCTGTTGCAAAAGTTATTTTCCCAACTTCACAGCATAGGCAATTTTTCTACCCAGGATGAGAGCAGTGTTGAATTAGGTCAAATTTTCTCAGGAGACACATTTATATGGCTTTTCTCCTGTATGGATTTGCTGATGCTTATTTAGACAAGATTTCACCCGGAAGCTCTTCCCGCAGTCTTCACACTCAAATGGCTTCTCACCTGTGTGGATCCTGTAATGTCCATGTAGATGAGATTTGATGTTGAATCTTTTGCCGCATTCAGGACAGCCATAAGGTTTCTCCCCAGTGTGGAGACGCAAATGGACATTAAGGTTAGACTGCTGATGAAAACGTTTCCCGCACTGAATACACAGATATGGCTTTTCCCCAGTGTGGATCCTTTGATGTGTAATGAGATGTGAAGGCCGATCAAAACATTTCCCACACTCCGAACAGGAAAAATTCTTATTTGACACTGCAATTTCTATAGGGGGCTTCCTACTCATAATTTTAATTATTTTTTCTGTTTCGGGAGCTGCATAAACGCGTGTCACTTCTGGCAATATTGCCCGGGGACCCTCTGATTTGATCTCAGATGGTTTTGCTGTATGGGTTCGCTGGTGCTTATTTAGGGAAGATTTCACACGGAAGCTCTTCCCACAGTCTTCACATTCAAATGGCTTCTCCCCTGTGTGTATCCTATAGTGTCCGTGTAAATGTGACTTGATACTAAACCTTTTGCCACAATCAGGGCAGCCATATGGTTTCTCTCCAGTATGAACTCTCAAGTGGACGTTTAGATTGGACTGCTGGTCAAAGCATTTTCCACATTCAATACACGGATATGGCTTTTCTCCCGTGTGGATCCTCTGATGTTTAATTAAGTTGGAACGGCGATCAAAACTTCTCCCACATTCAGAACAGGGGTAGTTTCTTTTTGATACAGTAGAACCTACTTGGGAGCTACTGCTGGGCATTTTCTCATCAGCCTTAGAAGCTTGTATCAGCTCCAGGAATAACCCTTGCTGTCTTCTAGATTTGACCTCCATTGGTTCAGAAATTTCAGGATCAAAGAGCACATCCCACTGCGTTGGCTCCTGAAATTGCTCTGCTCCAAACTCTTCTTGATGTATTTTTTTCCTGGTAGTCAGGCTTTCTGCAAGAACAAAGAAGATATATGCTAAGTTTTGATGATAGAAGCAGAAGAAATAAATAAGGGGGGGGCGGGGTGTGAGCAAGCAAGAAAAGGGCAAAAATACAGTCTTGATTTCAATAGGAAGATTCTGTTAGTTAATCTGTGATGCAAAATTATGCTTGCCAGTAACGTAAGGATAACAAATGACAATGGTACAGACAATTTTTCTGGCAATCATTAAAAAAAAAGGCAAGGTCTGTAGGAGCTTTCAACATATGAAAGGAAATAACTTTTCCTAACTTGACTTTCCAACTCAAGAATGGGAAAGGATGGTCAATAATGATTCAAAGTATCTCCCAGGAAATTCTTTTTTTAAAAAAAAATTTATTCAGTTTTTCACATTAAAAACAAAAATCTCTTTTTAGTGGGCAACATATTTCCAGATCATCACCTTTACATACAAATATGACAGCAATTATATATTTATATATGCATACTTAATTCTATTATTACCTTTTCCATTCCAAATTTTCAGTAAGGAGAGAAACACATTAATTCTAGCCTCTTTCATTAATCTCAATCGAAACATCTTTTTGTTTCATTTCAATTATTTCAAATATAATCCTTTAATATTTATTTTAAAAATAAAGATAAACAATATGTGATTGCCTAATATAATAATAATGATAATAATAATAAAAAAGTTACCAATGTCTCTCCTTGCTTTTAATAGTCTATGTTAACTTATTAATTTAGTTGGCTCTTTAGTCTGTCATATTCCCTTTCCATTACATTCTTTTTATAAATTCTAGATTAATACAAATTTTAACACTAAAAAAAAAAGTATAGGTTTCCCCCCTTTTACTGCTTTGAGTGTGACACCTCAATGATTAAAATATACCTTTATTCCCTCATCTTGATTCCCAATAAACCATTATTTTTAAGAAGTTACAATAGTAATCATTACATCTTTTCATTTGGATTCTGCAGCATATTTCCCCCCTTTGATTTTTAATAAGAGTTATCAGTATCTATATTACCCTATTTTCTAAATATTTTTTAATTGCAGAAATATTCTTATTACCCCTTGTCACCCTGCAGAATCCCCTTTTTAATTCATCAACCATTATCTCTGAAAAAACAATTTCTTGTCAACATTTTACTGTTTCTGTATTTCTTTATTTCATGCACCTGTTTCTTACTACTTCTCCTCCCCCTCTTTTCCCCATATCTTTTCTCATTCCAGTTTATATCCCTCTCTTTCTTAATATTTTCCTTTCCCCTTTTCTGCTGGGTCTTTCTGCCTTTCCTGACTTCACAGGTATTTCCCCTTTTGATTGCCTTCTTAAATCTCAACTTTTGAACCTTCCTTCTTTCCTCACTTCTTTGTAGTGTTCTTTGTGTTAATTGTCTATTTAAAATGTCTTTTCCTTGAGTTGACTCTCCTCCTCTGAAGCTCTTTCTTCTTGTTCTTCAATCGCCATTTCCATTTTTTCTAACACAGAGCAAAGTGATTCGCCTCTTTCCTGTAGTAATTCTCTCATATTTTTAAGTTCCATTTTTAATTCCTGAAGAGATATCATTACACACTCATATTTTATGATCGTTAAAGTCCACAAAAGAAAACCACACCACTTTTACTTTCCTTCTTTCTTCTTTCAATTTTCTAAAGTTCTCAATTATTCCAGCCCAGGGTCTATACCAAAAAATCAATCAATCCCACAGTCAGTCTTTCCTTGCTTTTTCCTTTATTCTGGTTCTGCTTTCACTTTCTAAGATTCTTACTTTGTTTCAATATTTCTTTAATGTTATATCCACACAAGTTCATTCAGAAACAGGATGCTTTCCGTTTTGTTTGAGCTCAACTTTTTGTCAAAAGGTGGCACTCTCCATTATACAAAGTCTTCACCTTTTCCCCCTATTTTTTTATTTAGGGTTTTTCAAACCTCTATATTCCAGCACAGTCCAGTCTCCAATTTGTAAACTTTATTACTATTATTTTTTGACAATCTTAAGTCCACCTTTGTTTTATGCCAATTTATTCCCAAAATATTTTAGTCCAATTTAGTTAAATCTTTAGTTCTGGCTTCTTCCTTTCCCGGTTCGAAGCCCCGCTTAGCTGTCAAAAATATTTTCTTATTTTTTTTCCTGTCCCTTTGTAATTTCACCACTCACTTTTCTTTTCTTAAAAATTCCATGTTACCTTAACCCCAGGGTACTTTTGTTTAGTAGTATTGCCCAGTTGTCCAGGTTCAGATGTTATCCACCTCTTTCTTCCCTCCTGCACAAATCTTAATCCAGCTAAGTCCTCCTCTTCGGGGTGGCCATTTTAAACCACAGCTGCAGTCGTCTTCAGGGGTGGGAAAGACCAAGCCTGGGGGGGAGATGTGGCTCCCCTCAACCTGGCTTGTGGCTTCCCCTTACTCCGCCGCCCCTCCAAGGAAGTTTCAGCCCCTAATCGTAATGACGGGGGCTCTCCAACGAAAGAGCACGGACCATAGCCGCAGAGAGTCACGATCTATGGTCCATCAGCGAGGAGGCTCCACCTTCTTCACCAGGAAATTCTTAAGAGCATGTTAATTCATTTGTGGGAGGACTTGTAATGACAAAAGTGGAACTACAGGTATTTGAAAAACTCACAGCTACTCAGTTTTGCTAAGGCTGAGCTTAAAACAGTTTCTCCCCATTGAAGCCTGAATAGCCTCTACTAGCATGATCAGTGCTTCTTCAGGTGCAATCAACAACTTTCTCAAAAAAGGGAGGTTGGAGACTGGATGAATATGATCCAAAAGAGATCAGTCCAGAGATGGTATCTTCAGAATGGCATGTACTACCTCTTCCCTAAGGTAAGTCAAAGCACTTCATGGATGTAAATCTATATCACTTCCCAGGTGGCTTTAACCAGTAAAGTGGGACAAGGATCTGATAAGCAGGCTATTGGGGTAAGACTCCCAACAACTAATACAGAAACATTCCTTTCAGGAATTTTGATAATAGCAATAGCACTTATATACCACTTCACAGTGCCTTATAGCCCCTTCTAAGCAGTTTACAGAGCCACCATATTGCCCCCAACAATCTGGGTCCTCATTTTACTGACCTTGGAAGAATGGAAGGCTGAGTCAACCTTGTGCTGGTGAGAACTGAACTGCCGAACTGCCGGCAGCTGGCAATCACAGAAGTAGCCTGCAGTACTGCATTCTAATCACTGCACCACTACAGATAAATGGTCCATACCCAGAAGGTTTATGTTTTGCTCATTCATAATGTAGAAGGATCTTTCCTCTTTCCTTGCTTTCACAGTTTCTTGGAAATCTATTTTCCTACCTGCACTTTCACAGGTTTGTTTCAAAAACAATTGCTCTAATAACTCACCTGGAGAAGAATGCCTCAGATTACTCCTTTCCTCAGACTTCTGAATTGTTCCATCTTCTCTCATGTGGAAGGCCACGTCAGATTGACCATTATGGAAAGTCTCATATGGATATTGCATTGGCAATTCTGAATTAAAGAAAGAAAGTGAAACCAGAGAAAACATCAAAACTAATGCAGGAAAATAGAGTTTTTAAACTGTCTCAAAACCATCAAGATCTTAAGCTTTACCTTGAGTGGCAACCATTCAGGTGGTTTTGGGCAGGCTATAATTCAACGTATTACCATGCTGGAATTAGCTAGGGTTGATTTAGGGACAACACCCAAGTCCTTCTTGGGTGTTGTGCTGTCCATCATACTCTCAGTGGGTGTGTCCACTGAAGATCTTGTCCCACTGATCATGAGACACACTTCAATAACACTTTTGGTGAGTGATCCAAATGTGTGGAACTTTTTGTGGCTTTGCAGACACAAAGAAACAACAGTATTGGATGGGGCTTAGACTTAGTGGGATTTATAGGTACAGCAGTGGGCCAGTTAAAACAGGTGGTTTGATGAATTAGAATGGCTCTTACTGAATGTCCCCTATTCTGTTCAGGGCATCTACTGGAGTGGCTACATGGTTAACATGTGCCCTCAGAAACACATATCAACATCCTACAGCCAAGCCAGCTGCTTGTCAGTGGGAGGTAATGAAATAGGCAGGGCAACAGTTAACTATGTTAAGGAAAGAAAAGGAATATGTTATCCTGCACATGAGCTAAACCTTATGTACTAAAGGAATGCAACCTAACATTGAGAACATTCTGATTAATTAGATATTGTATATTCCAGCTGCCTTGAGTCTGAGTGGCAGACAGGAAATTCAAAAGTGCTTGAATTAAAAAATATATATATATAACCCAATAAAACATAAGGGTTCTTTTGTCAGAGAAAGCAAGACCTTCTCACCAACCACCGTTATGTCCTCCCAATTCACAACTCCTTCAACAATAGAGTCTTTTCCTTTGAAGAGCTGAAGATCAGCCATTTGTAACCCTTCTTCCCATTCAGTCTGGACACTTGGATCTGGTTTGGAAATCAAAAGCTCTAGAGCAAAGAAAAGAAACAACAAAAGAGAGGAAGATTATTGATTTTCTTTATAGCTATATGACAAAGTGTATTATCCTGGGCAAGTTTGGGTAATTACCTTAGATTTCCAATGCAAGAAAACCTCACTTAACAATTGTCTAGTTCAGTGACCATTGAAACTTACAATGGCACTAAAAAAACAAAAACTTCACAATGAGTGTTTGCATTTACAACCATCAGTGTTCCTGGGGTCATATGACTAACAGCTGGCACTTTGCAACATGCAGGTGTTCTGTTATTTTGAATGTTCTCCTGCACACATTTCATTTACCAAGCAAGATAACATCATCAGTGCATGAAAGGGAGAAGTCTGCTGGTTGTTTAAAGATGATTGGTTGGAGTTCAGTTTCTTTTTTGGTTGTGCCTTGATCAGGGTATTATTTCTTTCTTCATTGTTTCTCTGGTACCATTTCCTTATTTTGCACAACAACAATACCGAGAGCCTTTTGACTGTCTCAGAGATGTCTGTGGGAGAATAACAAGCTCTGAGAACATCAAGAACCAAAAAGCTTAGAATTGTCTACCAGTATAGTATGGTTGAAGTGCTGGACTAGATTTGGGAAAAATCAGTCCAGCCCAAGCCATGGGAACTTCAGGAAACCTTGCATTTGTCCTTGTCTCTTATTTTTGTTGTAGGGACAAAACAGGTTCCCAAGTAACCTCTCTTTTATTCCTGTGATAGAAATGTAAGAAACCACAAATTAGAAAATATCTTAATTGGTTAGAAGGCATTCCAGATTCTCCTAAAGAGGACTATGCTATTCTCAGCTGCTGAATACTTTTTTAATCTTAGAAGTATTCCTTAGTATTCACTATGGAAAAAAATACCATTATTTGAAATTAAGCACGAAATGTGATACAACAGACATTTTTATTTCTGGAATATTTAACCCATTACAGCTAGTCCTCAATTTATGTCTGGTTCTTTAACAACAATTATGATAGACTTCAAGAAAGGTATTCATGACTCACTCTTAAAGTTATAACTGCTGCAGGTACACACACACACTTGTATTTTGGGTGTTTGGCAACTTGCTCACATTTAAGACAAGTTACAGCATCCAGTGGTTATGTGACCTCAATCTGCCAATTTTCTATTGGATATGCTGGATTCACTTAATATCACTATTTAATGACCACACTATTTGCTTAAGGACCACATGAGCCACAGTGGTTAAGAGTGCAGTACTACAGGCTAATTCTGCTGCCTGCTGGCTGCCTGCAATATGGCACTTTGAATTTCACCAGGCTCAAGGTTGACTCAGCTTTCCGTCCTTTCAGAGTGGGTAAAATGAGGACCCAGATTGTTGGGGGCAATAGGCTGACTCTGTAAACTGCTTAGAGGGGGATGTAAAGCATTGTAAAGCAGTACATAAGTATTTCTATTTGCTTAACAACTAAAGTGACTTACTTTAAAAACAGAGTTAAACACTTGTAAGACAAAGTTCAATCCCATGGTGCCTTTAGTTACAAGTGCAATGACTTACAACCAAAATTCCAAGCACCCCTGTAGTTATAAGTCAAAGATATTTTTATTTGTGCAATCGTGGAAAATTTTGTGTGCCTGACATCCATCTCTTTCTGATCTGCTAATTTAAAGTCACTGTTGGTAGAACGAGTCCTGAGCATTATAGATTTCAACTGCTTGCTTCCTTGGCCAATGTTGGATAGTCAATGGCAAGTCCTAATTTTCAGAAGTATGATGAGTTTCATTTAGACTATGTAGCATGAGGTAGGAACACCGTTGGGGATATGAAGAGCATTCAACAGAGCTTGCCTAAAAACCTTAAAAGTAAGGAAGACAACTTTACAAAAATATGCAATTTGCCTGTTCCACATAGGCAAGGAGGAGCCAATTCTTTGATTGGGTCTGACACATTCAGAAAGGTTTGTATGGTCATACAGGAATGGGAGCCTTACCTAAAGAGGTTATATTCTCAGAATTCTCTTGCATGACCGTGTAATACAAGATTCTTTGTTCCTCATTCAGAAGGTCCCACTCCTCTGGGGTGAAGTATACAGCCACTTCCTCAAATGCCACAGGGCACTAGAAGAGGAAGAAAATTGGATAGATTAATTCATCTGATCTGTCTACTTTTTCCAATGACTACTAACCATTCCATTTAGCTGTAGCAGCCCAGGCAGTGACTTATAATATGAACAGGTCACGGGTTGAGTCATAATATGGTTTGGCTATAAGATGTTATGTGAACCTGGGATACCAACCCAGAGTTTGTAAATCACCAGAGTGTGAACCAAGATATTGACTTTAGATCTGTAGCTTTCAAAATAAGAACAGGTGTTCCTAGAAAGTTAGGAGTTCTTATCAAGAGGGATGAAGTTCTTAGCATTCCCTTTTTCTACTGCCCATTCTATTTGTAACCTATAGTAAGACAAATTCAGGTGGTTTCAGAATCCAGCCCACTGGAGATCCCTTCTTCTTTGGCCAGTGCTTGTGGTCAGAGGAACAACAACATTCCTAGCATTAGGCTATGAATCAGGGGTTTCCTTTCTTATTAGCAAGGATACCTGTTGCTCCAGG